CCCGCCCGGGAGGCCTGAAGACCGCGCTCGCCGCGCAAACCGCGCCGCCGAGCAACAACAAGGAAAAACGCACCGGGCCCTCACAGCCGCGCGGCCTCCGCCGCGGGGGCAAGCGAGGAGCAGGGACCGCGGAGGCAGGAGGCAGGAGGGACGGACACCAGCGGGCGGGGGACGGGTGCAACCTGACCTTCCCCACCGTCGGGGAAGCCTGTCCCAGACAAGCGCGCTCCGCTGCTCGCAGGGAAGCAATTCGCACATGGCCTGGATCAGCCGCGGGGGATCGAAGATCCACGCTGAATCGAGGCCAAGAGGTGCTTTTCGGACGCTCGTGGGCAGGCACTCTGCGAGCAGCGGAGCGCGCTCGGTGATGCCCCAGGGCGGCTGGAAAGTCCATGCCCCAACCTGCCACCGTTTTGGAGCATACGCTTCCCAGCCGCCCAGGGACAGGCGCCCCCGACGGCGAGCAAGGTCATCTCATAGACCGTTCCTCGCCCTCCGAGGACAGACGAGGACAGAGGCGGGCGCCGCCAGTCCGCGGCCCGCCTGCGCCGAGCCCCTCCCCCCAGGAGCTGCGCGCTCGCCGTCGTCGCGCCGCCGCCCCCGCCGTGAGCCCCCCGCGGCCCATCGCAGCAATGGGGCGGCCCCGAGGTGCGCCGCCAGAATCAGGGACCACACGTCTCCCCTGCCGCCAGGTCGTGCCCAGCGGGCTCGGAGAGCAGTGGACGTGGACATCTGCCCGAGCACGCGGTCCACATCCACTGCTCCTCGAGATCTCGGGGCCCGACTCCGAAGCGGTGGACGTGGACATGCGGTAGGCTCGTCAGCGTCGATCGTTCAACCTTGAACCGATCGTGGCCCCGATCGTTCAAAGTCGAATTCCGTCGTGTCCAGTGGCGTCACCGTGTCCCTCAGTGCTTCCGCGTCGCCAAATTCATCCTTGAATGCCTTCGCCAAAGCCGCCAGCGCGCCAACGCCACATGAACCTACCGTAATCTGGCGGCGGCCAGGGGGACGCGGGAGGGAAGGGGGGGGCGAAGGGGGCGAGGGAGCCCGCGCCCCTCCCCCCCTGGCACTGCGCGCTCGCCGCCGTCGCGCCGCCGCCCCCGTCGTGAGCCTTCGGTCGGGCCTGTCCCCCATACAGGGGGGCTTCGGGCGGAAAATCAAAAATATGCAGAAAATGCACCCCAAATGCTCAAGAATAATCAAAACATCGTCCCCAGACTATTTGAATATTCCTCCTGTAGAGGGATAAGCCCGACTCAACGTGAGCCCCGCGGCCCCCTCGCAGCCGCGCGGCCCCCGCCGCAAGGGAGAGGCGGCGGCCAAAGGGTCGCGGGAGGGGGGGCGGGGCGCGCAAACATGAATTAGCGATCCATGGATTTGGCGCGCGGTCGCCAAAGCCGTGGATCGAGGGGACCGGAGGGTTCCAAAGGGGGTTTTTGGGGAGGCGGTTTTCCAGGAGGGGTCCCCCAGGGGCTTCGGAACCGTGGAGGGCCCTCTGGAAAACCCCCTCCCCAAAAACCCCCTTTGAAACTCTCCGGGGGGAGGCGCCCTCCCCAACAAGCGGCCGGTGCCGCCTCGCTCGGCGGCGGAGATCCGCCATTCCCCACGGCAGCGGGACCCGTCGCCAAATCCACGCCCCCCCGATCCATGTCTGCGGTCGCCTGAGGGGGGGGGGCCGGCAGGGCAGGCAGCGGGGGCCAGCCACGGGCGTCGTCGGGCGCAGAGCTGCGAGGGGGTGGTGGGCCCGCCGGGCGGCGCGCACAAAGGGGGGATGACGGGAGAGGGGGAAGGCTGCTTCTCAGAGGGAGGCTGGCTCTCGGAGGGCGCTGGCCCCACATCTGCAGAGGAGCCCCGCGCCCTCCAAGAATCAAAGGGTCGCGGGAGGGGGGGCAGGCAGCGGGGGCCAGCCACGGGTGTCGGGCGCAGAGTTGCGAGGGGTGGTGGGCCTGCCTGGCGGCGCGCACGGGGGGGATGATGGGGGAGGGGGAAGGCTCCTTAGAGGGAGTCTGATTCTCAGCGGGCGCCGGCCCCACATCTGTACGTCAGGTTCTTGTCGTGCCGACTTCGGCATTGGTTTCTGACACCGCGGGCATCGTTCAGCCTTGAACGATCGGCCGTTTCCGAAGCGTCCGAATCCTTCCACATCGAACGATTATGGGTCGCCCGCGGCGCTCAAAGTTGAACGCCGCTGGCGGGGTCGCCGCTGGTCGACACGGCGCGAACCTGCCGTAGAGGAGCCCCGCGCCCTCCAAGAAGCAGGTGTGCCTCTCAGAAGCCTCATTCCCCCTCCCCCTCTACCCTTCTGTTGCTCCCATCGTACTTCAGGACCACATCCCAGAAATAATTTCGAGCATCTGGAAAAGTGTCGAAACAGTGTCGAAACAGTGCCTCCCAGGGCCCGACACGTGAAAACCCTCGAGTTTCGGTACTTTCCTGGTGTTCGAAATTCTTTCTGGCGATTCAGAGGCTAAAGTAGATTAGAACATCATAGCTCTACCCCTCCTCTGCGCGTGGCTGACCCGTAATAGTCATCATGTACAGTGTCGCGCTGGGTTCGGGAGCTGGTTGCGCGGGACACGCTGGGAGCGTTGCGGCCCAGCAGTTGGCTGGGCTCGGCAGCGGGTGTCTCGGCAAGGCCACAAGCAAGTAAATCCCAACAGTGGGGTCTGGCCGAAGGCTCACAGCAAAGCTGATCAGGCCCCAGGCGAGATGCTCGATGGCATCCATTCATCACCGACGCAGTCGCAATACCTACTCCTCCAACACTCATTGTCCCCATTCCCCAGACAGTGTTTGCGCTCAGGGGTTGTTACTTCTACTCTAAAGAACTGGGCCCGAAGGCCGGTGTGGTGGCTATGTCGTCGCCGTCGACGCCCCGTCGCCGCCTCGTCGCCGCCCGTTGTCTGGGCCTGACGGCTAGTCTGGCGGCTGTGTAGCCGCCGTCGCCGCCCCGTCGCTGCCTCGTCGTCGCCCGTCGTCTGGGCCTGTCGGCCGGTCTGGGGGCTGTGTTGTCTCCGTCGCCACCCCATCGACGCCATCGCCACTCGTCGCCGCCGTTGGATTGCACCACACAGGGTAAGTTGCGTTGCATGGCATTGCATTGCGAGTCCTTGCATTGCTCGGCGCTGCCGTGCATTGCTGTGTCTTGCTTTGCATTGTCTCGCTTTGCGTTGCGCTGCTTTGCACGGCCTTGCATTGAGTTGCATTGCTTTGCCTGACGTTGCGTTGCTTTGGATGACATTAAGGTGCATTGCGTTGCATGACTTAGCGCTGCTTTGAATTGCGTCGCATTGCTTTGCATTGCAATGTATTGCTTTGTGCTGCTTTGCATTGCATTGCACTGCGTTGCATTGCTTTGCACTGTTTGTATTTCATTGCATTGCGTTGCATTGCGTCGCATTGCTCTGTATTGCGTTGCTTTCCCGTTGCTTTGCTTTGCATGCATTTGCATTGCGTTGCAGTGCGTTGCGTTACCTTGTTTTGCACATCATGGATTTGCATTGCGCTGCTTTGCTTTGCTTTGGTTTGCTTTGCGTCCTGGAGGGGGCGCGTGCATATATTCCCCAAGCAGTGCTTGCACTCAAGGGATCTTTCCTCTGATCTAAGGAACTGGGCATGTCTGGCTGCCTGGCGGCTTCGTACTCGCCGTCGCCGCCCGTCGTCTGGGCCTGCCTGGCAATTTGGCGGCTCCGATCTCAACATCCCCGCCTCGTCAACGCCCCGTCGCTGCCTACATTGCACAACTTAGATTGCACCACATAGACGGCACCACAAAATAGATTGCACCACACAGGTAGCACCACGTCGATGGCACCGCGTACATTGCACCGCAAGGAGTGTAGTCGACCCCCTGCCCGAACGTTGAGCCAACACGCAACGTATTGGCACCGACGTCGTGAGCACGTCGCGCAAAGGCTGCGCTCCGAAGCGTGCGCATCGAGGCAGCTGCTCGAGCTCCGGGCGCAGCTCTGGGCGGCAGGCTGCGAGCCGTGGCCGCCCCGGCCCTGGCCTGGGCAGCCCTGGGGCCCACGCTGCCTAGCATCAGTCGGGCGTGTCCCCCTGCAGGCGCATTCGGAATAAAGAATAATCGAACAAATACCCCAAACATATTTAAAAAAAATCAAAGAAAAATCGTCCTAGGACTGTTTTTCTACGATTTCTGACTATTCCCCCTGTAGAGGGACACGCCCGGCTTAAGCCTAGCGCGTGTTGGCGGCGAGCGCGGGGGAGGAAATGAGAAAAGTAGCTATGGCCCTCCTTTCTGCCAGCACAGCACGCGCGCAGGAGCAAACAACACAGGGAAAGGAGGGCACTGCTTTCAGAGCGGGCATGTCCCCCTACAGGCGGTTTTTGGACGAAGAGTAAACATTTGTCAACAAGTACGCCCAGAGGATCAAAAATTGTCAAATAATCGTCCCCGAACTACTTTTGACTATCATTGAGTATTCCTCCTGTAGACAGCCCCGGCTTAATGCCAGCACGCGCGCGCAGGAGCAAGAAAGGAAGGGGAAAGGAGGGCACTGCCCGACTGCGCCGCTCTACGCTCAGATCGGGCATGTTCCCCTACAGGCGGACTTGATGAGGAAAAACAAACTCAAAATATTCCAAAAATGCTTCAAATACTAAGACTTGTTCTGGACTGTTTTTCAATACTCCTCCTCTAGATGGACATACCCGACTGAACTCTACGCCGGGGGAGCTGGCGCGCCAGACACGAGAGAACATGGGATCGACACATTTTTGAGCAGGGACCGACCGTCCCAGCATTCACATAGGCCTATCACGACATGCTCCCAGAACCCCCAAAAAGCTCGAAGAACAGAAACAAGGTTCTTAGAACATAGACCCGATGTGCTAAAGCAAGACAGTCTCAGCCAGAAATGCTCTAAGAGCATCCCGTGCAGACCACAAAAGGTTCTTAGAACATTCTGTGGTAGGCCCATAGGCGAGCTAGGACGCTTCGCCACTGCTTGACAGTTCGGCGGCGAGCGAGAAGG